ACGACGTTGAGGAGTCACATTAACCAGGTCTCCTTGTTCATAAAGTAAGGATGCAACACTTACCAAACATGGCTGCTTTAAGGACTAAACATGATGATGTATGCAGTGAGCCTGGCATGTTCATGGCTCTCTGCTCTTGTAATCAAACAAGCAATAAGAAAATAAAACAGAAGAGCATGGCTTCTTTTCTTGGTGCTCTCAGTCAAGTTTGGGAAACATATAAATTTAGGAGGTCTTTTTTTTTTTAGTAAGTATTTATTTTTATTTATTCATTTACTTATTTTATTTTGACCAGAGAGAGAGAAAAAGTGAGAAAGCAAACCACCAGGTCCAGGACTTGAACCACGGTTGGCCATGTGGGAATGTCCAACGCCTTAACCACCACGCCATGTGCTAGACCCCAATTTAGGAGTATTTTTATTTTAAAACAAAACTTTGCACATAAATAACAGACACAAGACAAATGCATCCTTGGCTTTTCCTTCTTTGTCAATCTATAGCCTTCTCAAACATCTCATTGCGGGGGAGGGGGTTGGGGGGGTGAGGGAGTGGGGTTCAGGGAAAAACATTTAACAGACACAAAAGTTACCTGTTAATTAATTATTTTTTGAAAAATTTTTTGGAGAGGTTTTTGTTATAGGGCGCGTGCGCTCACCAGACAGACAGAGACAGAGAGATAGAAAGTGAGAAATCGCGGTCAACTACATGGGAGTCCAGCGACATAGCCATTACGATAACTACTGGTCCCAATTACCTGTTAATTTAAATAAATAAATAAAGTTAAATAAAATAATTCCAAAATGGCTAACTGCAGTTCAAAATCCGGACCTGGTGGCTTGCTTTCTCATTTTGTAACTCTCTCCTCTCACTCTGTCCCTCTCTGGTCAAATTTAAATAAATAAATAGTTAAATAAAAGTAAAATTACCTGTTAAAAATTATATATATGGGGGACCAGCAGTTAGCGTAATGGCTATGGTGCTGGACTCCCACCTAGTCGACCCACGTAGTCGACTGCGGTTCAAGTCCCGGACCCAGTGGCTTAAATTCACACGGGCCGCGTGTGTGTGAGTGCCCAAGATCCCGAGAGGAGAATAGAGGAGAAGGGATTATGGCATGGCCATCCCCCCTGGGGGGTGATTTCTCACTTTCTGTCTCTCTGTCTCTCTGTCTGGTGAGCGCATGAGCCCTATAGCACACACACACACACACAAAAATACCTCTCTAAAAAAGGAAGAAAAGAAAAAAAATTATATATATGGTAATATCTATGACTTGATTAACATGCATGCATGCTTAGAAAAACCATATTGTACGTTTTGAAAATGTACAAAGATTAGATGTAAATTTAAAAAATAATCTTGATGGGGCCAGAAGGTGGCGTAGTGGTTAAGGGCACTGGACTCCCACATGGCCAGTTGTGGTTCAAGTCCTGGACCTGGTGGCTTGCTTTCTCACTTTCCCTCTCTCTGTCTCTCTTGTCAAATTAAAATAAGTAAAAGAAATAAAATGATATAAATGAGTCTTTAAAAATAATCTTGCGGCTAGCAGGTGGCATGGTGGTTAAGGCACTGAATTCCCACATGGCCAACAGTGATTCAAGTCCCAGACCTGGTGGCTTGCAAATCATGCTGGGCACATGTGTGTGAATGTCCAAATCCCAAGAGGAGGAAGGAGGAAGAAAGGATGGTGGTATGGCCAGTCCTTACTTTTCCTTTCTCTAACTCTCTCTGGCAACCTCACGCCCTATGGTTAAAAAAAAAAAAAAAAAAAACTCATGCAGTATTTTCTCCAAAGCACAGATCAGGGTTTTCTCTACCCTTGGCATTTCTAACACGTCAGTCTGTCCTGTGACTATGGTACTCAACAAGCTTTTTAACTTTTTAATAATTATTTTATCTGGGGACCTGCAGGTGATGTGGTGGTTAAGGCGCTGGACACTCTCACATGGCCGACTACTGTTTGAGTCCCAGACCTGGTAGCTTTCTCTCTCTCTCTCTTTCTCTGTGCATGTGTGTGTGTCTGGTCAAATTAAAATTAATGAACGAATAAATAAAATTAAATAACTCTTTTTAAAATAATTATTTATTTTATTTATTCATTCATTTATTTTTAAATTTGACCAGACACACACACGCACACACATGCGGAGACACACACACACACACACACACACACACAGAGAGAGAGAGAGAGAGAGAGAGAGAGAGAGAGGAGAGAGAAAGCAAGCCACTGGGGCTGGGACTCAGACTGTGGTTAGGCATTAGGAATATCCAGTACCTTAACCACCACGCCACCTGCTGGTCCCCTCAACAAGTTTTTATTATCATTCTTAATATTTAAAAAATTTGCTATAGGGCATATGTGCTCACCAGAGAGAGACAGAGAGAGAAAGAGAGTGAGAAAGCAAGCCAGCGTGTCCCGGACTCAAACCACAGTCGACAGCGCCCTAACCACTATGCCACCCACTGGCCCCTGGCTTTTATGTTTTGTTTTGTTTTGTTTTGTTTTCAGAGATTTTTGCTCAGGGGCACATGTGCGCACCAGAGAGACAGAGAGACAGAAAGCAAGAAATCAGCCCCTGGGGGGATGGCTATGTGCAATCCCTTCTCCTCTATTCCCTTCTCAAGATTTTGGGCATGCACGCACATAGGCCTGCCATGAGTTTTAAGCCACTGGGGCCCGAACTCAAACCACAGGCGACTACGTGGGAGTCCAGTGATATAGCCATTACACCATCTGCTGGTCCCTGTGTTCTTATGTTTGTTTCCCAAACTCGACTGCCAGCACTAAGGCAAGAGGCCAGCCTATTTTATTTGATTCATTTGGTATATTTACATAGTATTTAACAAAAAGCTTGCAGAGTAGGAAAATAATGTGTTCAGATGAGGTTGCTGAATGATTTAAACCAATATGACATGGAACCAGGTATTAAAACACCATCGTAAGTTTATATTCACTTCTTCGTTCAGCAACATTTTCTGAGCATCCACTATGTATGCGCCAGGCACAGTTAAGGATGTTGGAGTTATAAGAAAAACAAACAAGAAAAAGGGGTCTGCTCTGTTGCAGCTGATAACCGAGCAGAAGAATACAGACAACAAATCAGGAAATCCATAACACAAGATTGTTTCAGTGTGTTCAGTAACTGAGACGAAAACAAAACAAGGTAAAAGAGATTTTCTGAGCACAGGAGACGTTACTTCACTCAGGGCAGTCAGGAAAAGCCTCTTAAAACAGGAGACATCTAAGCTGAGACTTAAAGACAAATATGTAGCTCGACAAAGAGAAAAGCAAGTTCAAAAGCCCTGAGTTAAGAATGAACTTCATGGTTCCAAAGAACAGAGAGAAAACCAGAGTGGCTGTAATGCACTATTGTGGATGCAGTGGTGGGATGCAATAAGGCCAGGAAAAAAGACAGGCCCAGGTCAAGTAGGGCCCTGTGAACCACACTAAGGCCTTCAGATGTCTTTTGTTTCTAAAGAATTATTTAATTTTATTTATTCTTATTTAATTTGTTATAGGGGCTGTGTGCTCACCAGAAAGAGACAGAGAGTGAGAGAGAGAGGAAAGCAAGCCCCAGGTCTGACACTTGAACCATGGTTGGCCATATAGAAGTTCAGCACTTTAACCACCATGCCACCTGCTAACCCTGCCCCCACCCCATATATATATAAATATATATTTTGTTTGTTTAAGAATTATTTATTTAACTTTTTTTTTGGGGGGGGGGTGGTAGAAGTTTTTGCTATAGGGCATGTGCACTCACCAGAAGGACAGAGAGAGACAGAGAGAAAGAAAGTGAGAAATTGCCCCCCAGGGGGGATGGCCACACAATTGCTTCTCCTTCATTCTCCTCTCAGGATCTTGGGTATGCACGCACATGCGCCTGGTATGAGTTTAAGCTACCAGATCTGGGACTTGAACTCTAGTCGGACCACATGGGAGTCCAGTGACACAGCCATTACACCAACTGCTGGTCCTGAGAATTATTTATTTAACTTTATTTATCATTATTATTATTTTTAAAAAATTTGCTACAGGGCATGTGCACCCACTAGAAAGCTGGGGGAGGGAAAGTGAGAAAGCGAGCCACCATATCTGGCACTGCCCCATTTTTTTTTTTAAAAGAGATTTTGCTATGGAGCATATGTGTTTGCCAGAGAGACAGAGAAATAGAAATCAAGAAATCACTCCCCAGGGGAATTGGCCACACCACAATCCTTTCTCCTCTGCTTTCCTCTCAGGATCTTGGGCATGCATGCACATGCGCCTGGCGTGAGTTTTAAGTTGCTGGGTCTGGGGCTCAAACTGTGGTCAACTACATGGGAGTCCAGTGACATAACCATTACACCATCTGCTGGTCCCTACATATATTTTTAATTTTTTTTTTTTTTAGAGGTCTTTGCTATATGGTGTGTGCGCTCGTCAGACAGAGAGACAGAAAGCGAGAAATCACCCCCCAGGGGGGATGGCTATGCCACAATCCCTTCTCCATTCTCCTCTCGGGATCTTGAGCACGCACACACACGCGCCCGGCGTGAGTTTTAAGCCACTGGGTCCAGGATGCAAACCACAGTTGACTACGTGGGAGTCCAGCGACATAGCCATTACGCTAACTGCTGGTTCCCAAAACACAACAGTGTATTTTGACATGAATAACTAGAAGTTATTCTTCTGGTCTGGCATGGTAGCAGAAGTGTTTGACACTATTTGGTACTTAATGTGTCAGCCAGTCTACTGCACCAGAGGAAAAGTGAATTGGAGTAAGTTACGCATATTTGAAACATGTTCAATTAAATAGAGGTCAAGCAGTTCTGTCAATGAATGCAAAGGCGGTAATTTGAACTCTTTTACTACAGTGGTTTGGTCATTCGTGAATGGGATAAATCTATAATTATAATTGCATTTAATTATATATATAGTATTGCTTTCTAATAGAGAGACAGACTCATAAATACACACACACACACACACACACACACACAGAGAGAGAGAGAGAGAGAGGAAGTGAGAAAGCAAGTCACCGGGTCCGGGACTCGAACCATGGTTCTATATGTGGGAGTGTCCAATGTCTTAACTACCATGCCACCTGCTAGTCCCATGCTGGTCCCTTTTTAATTTTTAAAAAAGAATTATGCATTTAATTTTATTTATTATTATTATTTTTTTTTAATTTGACCAGAGAGAAAGGTAAAGCCACCAGGTTCAGCTCTCAAACTGCAGTTGGCCATGTGGAAGTCCAGTGCCTTAACCACCATGACACCTACCAGCCCCAGGCCTTTATATTTTATATTTCATTGCCACTACAGAAAGAAGGCAGCAGAAGGAAAGGTGATCTGATATGATCTGATTTACTTAAAAGATCACTCCAGGGGACCAGCAGATGGCCTAATGGTTACATTGCTGGAGTTCCAAGTAATTGACCGCAGTTTGAGTCCTGGACTCAGTGGCTTAAAACTCATGCTGGGGCGTCTATGTGTGTACCCAAAATCCTGAAAGGAAAATGAAGGAGAAGGGACTGTGGTGTGGCCATCCCCCTGGGGGGTGATTTCTCGTTTTCTTTTTCTCTGGCAAGTGTACATCCCCTACAGCAAAAAATCCCTCTCTCAAAAAAAAAAAAGGCTCCCTCTGGCTGCTGTGGGAGTGGCCGTAGGGTGCACAGAGGTGGGGATACCAGCAAGGAGATTATTGCAGTGACAGGTGCACTGAGAGAAGATGACTGGTCACGATGGACAGTAGACAGGTACAGGTCTAAGCCAGAACCAGGGGCACGGTTACACCTGCACCTGAGGGTTTTCTCTCGCTACCCCCGCCCGCCTCTTGCTCTTACCTCCAAATCCATATATATTGCACTAATGGCCACCTTGGTGCCTTGTCTATAGATGACCTTCTGGTCCTTTCTCAGCATCTGCTCGGTGGTCAATCCTGGAAAGCAAGTATCACACAGGCCATCGAGATGGCTTAGGAGGAGGAAAAATGCAGCTTGTGTTTGGGGCAATGGACAGGGGAAATAACCGAGAATATAATTACATAATCAGAAACTACTTTGAATAATTGGGTCACAACAGTTACCTTTAGAGCAAGGGACATCAGAGAGCAGAGTAGAAGGAAGAGCGACTCTTACTTTTGTTTTTGTTTTTTTTTTTTCCCCTTCTTGTATCATTTTAGCTTTCTAAAAGTATACATGGCATTTTTTTCTTCTTTTTTTTTCTAAATGTCAACAGGTGGTAGCTGGGTAAGACTGTGGGAGACATCTGTGTTCTCTTCCTTTGCCCTGTGTATACTCACACTAAATGTTCCTGCTGCCTCCTGACTGGTTAGCTAGCTCTCACTCGGATCATTTCGCACGCCCTAAGCACATTTCAGTTCTGGGTCCTGTGTTACCCTCTGATTAGACTGGATCCTCTGGGACTCTTGATAATGTTCCTCCTCACCCTGCTCGAGAGCCAGGATAGAACAACCCAGTACATGATTAGCTCATGATCAGACTGGCTCCGAGCTCACTTCTCCCTGCTACAAAGCTTACATCGTTCCACATACTCGGAAACTGTCTTGATGGTGTTCGAGAATATAATGTGCAGGGCTCGCCCAGATGTTTTCTCATGTGACAGAGAGAGAAGTCAGTTCAATACTTCGTACCTGAGACATCAAACTTCGCCTTTTGCAGGGAATCAAAGATATCGCTTCTCTTAGGCAGATCTGGGAAAAGGGCCTCCAGTTTCTCCACATAGGTTTTGTCCTTTGGGGTTGCCTTTCCAATTTTAAGGTCCATATTGACACAGTCCAGGATGATGGTTCCTGTGGAGAAGGGAGATGGAGAGGCTCGAATCCTGTTACCCACAACGCAGGATGATGGAGCACACAGAACCTCCAAACCAGGAAGACACAACACAGCGGGGACGCGCATGGGAAACCCACGGCAGACAAATGAGAGACTGGAACTACGTGAAGAGCCATCCCAAATTCAAACTAAAATGTAGGCAGGGAAATGGGGAAGAGGTAGAAAGGAAGCCTGAGCACCCCCAGCCTGGTTGGAAATTTCTCTAGGAGAGCGCAACTAGTACAGCTCTCCAGTGGGTGAAGTCCACCAAAGGACCTTGTGATTTGGAACCGATGGTCCAGTCCAACTCTCTCTCTCTTTTTTTCACAAAGGGAGAAAATGAAAACAAAGGTTACAAGATTTTCTCAAGGTCACATTATTTCCTGGCAACACCGGTATGAGAATCCATTTCCTGGGGCTGGCAGGTGGCGTGGTGGCTAGGGGCGCTGGACTCCCACATGGCTGACCGCGGTTTGGGTCCTGGACCTGGCGGCTTGCTTTCTCACTTTTCCCCTCTCTCTCTCTTTCACTCTGTCTGCTCATATTAGAAAACAAATAAATAAATAAATAAGGTTAAAGAAAATAATTCTTGGGGCCAGCAGTTAGCGTAATGGCTATGTCGCTGGACTCCCACATAGTTGACCGTGGTCCTAGTCCTGGACCCGGTGGCTTAAACTCACGCCGGGCACGTGTGCATGTGTGCCCAAGATCCCGAGAGAAGAATGGAGGAGAAGGGATTGCAGCGTGGCCATCCCCCCTGGGGGGTGATTTCTCGCTTTCTGTCTCTCTGTCTCTCTCTGTCTGTCTGGCGAGCGCATGTGCCCTATAGCAAAAAACAAAAAACAAACAAAAAAAAAACCTCAAAAAAAAAAAAAAAAGAAAATAATTCTTTTTTTAAAAGATTTATTTGAAATTTTATTTATTATCACTGTTCTTTAATTTTGACCAGAGACAGACAGACAGACAGAAAGGGAAAGTGAGAAAGCAAGCCGCCAGGTTCGGGACTTGAACCATGGTTGGCCATGTGTGAGGCCAGCACTTCAACCATCATGCCACCTGCTGGCCCTGAAAATAATTCTTTAAAAAAAAAAAAAATCCATTTCCTGATTCTTTGGCTTGTCTTCCATTATACAATGCCACAATGCCACTAGAGGAAGCTTCTAGGTCTGCTGCCCTGCACTTCCTTTCTTCTTTCTCCAACAGAGTATTCATTCCACAGGCTTTTTCTTTTGTTTGGAGAGGTTTTTGCTATAGGGCGTGTGCGTTCGTCAGAAAGTCAGAGAGAGACAGACAGAAAGTAAGAAATCACCTCCCGGGGGGAGGCCACACCGCAATCTCTTCTCCTCCATTCTCCTCTTGGGATAGTGGGCACGCACGCACACGCGCCTGGTGTGAGTTTAAGCCACCAGGTCTGGGACTCCAATCGCGGTCGACTACATGGGAGTCCAGTGACATAGCCATTACACCAACTGCTGGCCCCTCCTCAGGCTTTTAAACAAATGTTTAATTGTCCCACAAAATAATCCCATCCTTTGGCATGGACTGAATGGCTTTGAGAGCATATGGTTAGGCTGGAAGAGTCTAGACTCTGCTACTCTCTCTTCTCTGGAATGAGAATAGAGGAACTTAAAGGGTTCCAACCCCAGAGCCATCCTCACCATGTAGAAGGGCTGCAGTCTGCCTGTCCAGGATCTCTGGTGCCCCCTGCAGGATTCTCTCCGTCACCAGCGTAGCGCAGGACCCCACCAGCTCAACTGAAACATGGCAAGGAGGGCAATGTTTCTGCTCAATGGGCCGATGGTCTAGCACCTCCGTGACTGCCTCTTCTAGGACTGCGTCACCTCTGTGGAGGGGAGAGAGTGTGAGAAAAAGAGGAAAACAATTGGTAGGGGCACTCCAGTTGCTTCTAATCTCTCTCCCTTACCCCTAAAGGAAATGCAGATGTCTTAGGCACTTCTCCCTGTACCTCACTCTCAATTCTTGTCTTTGTTGTTTTTTTTTTTTTAGGTTTTTACTATAGGGCCTATGTGAGAGAGACACCAGAGAGAGACAAAGAGAGGGAAAGTGAGAAATCACTCCCCAGGGGGATGGCCATGCTGCAATCCCTTCTCGTCCATTCTCCTCTTGGGATTTTGGGAACACAAACACACACAAACACACACAAACACGAGTCCAACCTGAGTTTCAAGCTGCCAGGTCCAGGACTCGAACCATGGTTGACCATATGAGAATCCAGCTGCCTTAACACTATACTACCTGCTGGCCCCAATTCTCATCTTTTTCTTTTATCAGAGGTTTTTGCCTGAGGGCACGTGTGCTCACCAGACAGAGACAGTGAGAGGGAAGTGAGAAGTCACCCCCTAGGGGGGATGGCCAAGCCACAACTCCTTCTCCTCCATTCCCCCTTCTAGGATCTTGGGCATGCACGAACATGCACCTGGAGTGATTTTCAAGCTACCAGGTCCAGGACTCAAACTGCAGTCGGCCACATGAGAGTCCAGAAAGTAACTGCTATGCCATCTGCTGGCCCCTCTTGTCTTTAAGAGTATAACTGAGGGGCCATCAGGTAGTGCAGTAATTAAGGTGCTGGACTCCCATGGGCTTCCATGTGGTCAACAGCTGTGTGAGTGTGTATGCATGTCCAAAATCCCAAGAGGAGAATGGGATTCTGTCTATCTCTTCAGTGTGTGCATGCACCCTATAGCAAAAAAAAAAAAAAATCCCTTAAAAATTTTTAAAAGTAAAATCATTTTAAGTGTATAGGTGAATTTTGTGAAATATCTGCTGCAAATATCTTACCACATATTTACTGTCCTTCAGGGGTGCTTTTACAATGGACACTCTTTTTTTTGGGAGAGGTTTTCACTATAGGGCGTGTGCACTCGCCAGACAGAGAGACAGAAAGAAAGAAATCACCCCCTAGGGGGGATGGCCACACCGCAATCCCTTCTCCTCCATTCTCCTCTTGGGATCTTGGGCACACACGCACACGTGCCCAGCGTGAGTTTTAAGCCACCGGGTCCGGGACGCGAACCGCGGTGGCGTGGGAGTCCAGCAACATAGCCATTACGCTAACTGCTGGTCCCACAATGGACACTCTTGATACCCACCACCTAAATCTTCCCTGTTCCTTCAATCTACTCAACACCCACACTGCATTCAGGTCAAAAGGTCCTGCAGCTTCCAGTTCAATTCCTACTGAGGCCCTCCCTTCCAATCCTCTGTGACTGCCCTGCTCTCAGTCTGTCTTTTCTGGATTATTTACATCCTCCCAAGTTGTCCTTCACAAAGCTGCATAAATGATCACCTGGAAAAAAAAAAAGCAAACTTGAAGTGGCGCAGAGGTTAAGGTGGCTGGACCCCACACGGCCAACTGCATGGTTCAAGTCTCTGACCTAGCGGCTCAAAACACGGCAGGTGGGGACAGCAGGACAGCATAATGATTATGTTGATGGACTCCCACATGGTTGACCGTGGTTCCCAGACACAGCGGTTTGAAGCTCATGCAGGGCACATGTGTTTGCGTGCCCAAAACCCAAGAGACTGGAGAAGGGACTGCTGTGGGGTCATCCCCACTGGGCAAGTGGGCGAGGGAGGGGGTGATTTCTCGTTTTTTGTTCTATCTCTTGTCTTGTCTTTCCAGCAAAAACACATGCACTGTAGCCAAAATCTCTTTCTAAAAACAAAACAAAACAAAACAAAACAAAACAAGCTTCACAAAAACATGCCAGGCACATGTGTATGCTCAAAAACCCTGGGAGGAGAATAGAGGAGAAGGTATTGCCATGTGGCCATTCCCCAGGGGGTGATTTCTCTCTCTCTCTCTGGCAAGTGCTTGCACCATATAGCAAACTAAAATAAATAAATGAATAAAAATAAAAAGTGAACTTGATTCTATTAGGACTTGGAATAAATAGAATAGTTCCCCATTGCCTAAGATAAAGTCAAATCTCCCAAGAAGGGCTTACAGGGCCTCCCTCTGTCCCCCGCTACCTCTCGAGTCTCGTCTCTTTCCTGTTCTACTTCTCCCCCGTGTTTGCTGCTCTAGCTGTGCAAGACAAACGCCCGCTCCCTCTCGCCATGCTGGTCCAAGCACCCCGCCTGCCTTTGCTCTTCTTAATGACTTCCTCTGCCTGGAATGCTTTTCCCAACTACCTTCCCTCCCCATTCACTGAGCAAACACCTCGTCCTCTTTCAAGACTGAGACCAGGGACCAACTCTAAGAAACCTTTCCCGACACCCTCAATTCCCCTCTGGTATAAGGAGCCACTCCCTCCACCCTTTAGGTACCTACCCCCTCCCGGAGCTGACAGTTATCACCAACCTCTAACGCCATTACAAAAATCAGTTTGCCTAGCTCCCTCTTCTGGACTGAAAGGTTTGGAGATCAGGGTCTCTGCCTCTCCTTCATCCTCTAAACTGAAGTTTATTAATACATGAAAGCAGATGGATTCATGCTCCTTGGCCACTCTCTGTCAATGTCCTGCTGCAACCACAGGGTGCTCCAGGAAAAAAGGCACATTGTAATATTAGCGGGAGCCAGACAGACTTAGAAGTCTCATGCTCGTGTTTCTTTTTTGGCAGTTTTCCCAGTCCTAAATTAGGATGGGATTATTATAGATGTGTACATTTGTTAAGCAGACACTAGTGAGAAATTGTTAGACTCTAACACAACACATTACTATATATCACTAAAAGTTTACATGGAAAAAAAAAGTTTACGTGGGAAATACTTTTTTTTTGTAGATTTAACTTGATGTATTTATTTATTTAATTTGACCAGAGAGGGACAGAGAGAGAGAGAGAGAGAAAGCAAGTCGCCAGGTCTGAGACTTGAATCGTGGTTGGCCATGTGGGAGTCCAGTGCCCTTAACCACCACGCCACCTGCTAGCCCCTATTATGCTGTATTTCTTTTTCAAGTGCCAGAAGCTATGTGCACTCAACAGAGACAGAGACAAAGAGAGGAAGAAATGGGGTGTGGTCACCCCACAATGCCTTTTCCATTTCTTTATTGTTTTCTTTCTTTCTTTCTTTCTTTTTGGAGAGGTTTTTTTTGTTGTTGTTGTTATAGGGCCTGTGCGCTCGCCAGAGAGACAGAGAAAGACAGAGAGCCAGAAAGCGAGAAATCACCCCCTCAGGGGGGATGGCCACGCCGCAATCCCTTCTCCTCCCTTCTCCTCCATTCTCCTCTCGGGATCTTGGGCACACACGCACACACGCCTGGCATGAGTTTAAGCCACTGGGTCCGGGACTCGAACTGCGGTAGACTACATGGGAGTCCAGCAACATAGCCATTACACTAACTGCTGGTCCCTCTTTTCCATTTCTTTATTCTGTGGGGATTTGGGCATGCACACAAATGTGCCAGGCATGTTTTTCAGGTGGCTGGGGCTGGATTCAAACCACGGTTGGCCATATGGGATCCTGTTCCCTTAACCACCGGACTAGAAGGCTGGTCCCATGATGGAACTTTTTATACCACAGACATACATATAACTGAAGAACTGACATTTCCTGGCAACTTCCTAGATCTAATTGGACCCATCAATTATGATTAGCCTGTGAAATCTCTGAAAGCAAAAACTTTGTGTGTGTGTGTGTGTGTGTGCACTCACTGGAGAGAGAGAGAGAGAGAGAGAGAGAGAGAGAGAGAGAGAGAGAGAGAGAGAGAGAGAGAGAGAGAGAGAGAGAGAGAGAGAGAGAGATATTTTTGTTATAGGGTGTGTGTGCTCACTGGAGAGACAGAGAGCAAGAAATCGCCATCCCAGGAGGGATGCCACACTGCAATCCCTTCTTCTCTATTCTCCTCTCAGGATTTTGGGCACATATGGACATGCACCTGGCGTGAGTTTCAAGCTGCCAGGTCTGGGACTCAAACTGCAGTGGGTCATGTGAGAGTCCAGTGCCTTAACCACTATGCCACCAGCTGGCCCCTTATAGCTCCCTCATAAGAGCTCAACATGGGAAATGACAAATACAATTCACTGTTCTTCTACTTACTTGGGTAAGACATGATGGTCGACAAGGATGAGGGAGAGTTGGCCAGCTTGGTGCAATGTGTGGAGGTCAATCTCATCCCGAAAAATCAAGAAGGTCTCTGGAATATGAACCTTCTGAAGAAAGAAGATGTTGTCACCTCGCAGAGGTAGCTCAGAACGTTTTATATTTAAAACTGGCACAAAGACTTCTTCGGCCTCAGTTGTCTGGATAGGAAAAGAAAAAGAAGGCATGGCAATGCTTTGGAACAGACTGGAAAAAGTAAGAAAACTATTAAGACCAAAGAAGACATGGTCTTTGGTAAGTTATTTAGCCTTTCTGAGAGGCACAATTGCCCAGTTTATAAAAATAAAAGGATGACGCTTGCCCTCTCCTTCCTCACAGTAATGTGAAGGTCAACGAGATAACTCATGGGAAGACCTAATTTTACTTACGATGGTGCAGACAAGGGATGATCAGTCCTTATGAGTTAACTTGGGCCCGAGGAACTACACACAGGATATCCATAAGGAACTCATAAGACACACAGTAATACTTCAGGGCTTATAAATCTCTCAAAATATATTTACTTATTTGTTTCTCACAGTAACACTGCAAAACATTGTTATTTCGGATTCTATAGACGACACAAGACTCAGCAAATTTAAGGGATTGGACTTACTCAAGGCTCAATACTGGGAGGGGCAGAGCTGGGTCTTGAATCTAGATCTTTTCATTCTGAGGGACTGTCCCCAGGTACTCACCTTTGCCATGTAAAAAGCCAGGGCGAGAGCAGACACCATGGAATCCAAGTCACAGGCTTCATTTCCCAGCACAACATGTAGAGGGCGAGACTCCTAGAAGGGAAGCAGAGTGAGAAATTCACAAAAGCAAGTCAATGCATTTCCATTGACCTGATACTCACACAGGGCTTCCTACATATTTTCCTGATGATGCTCACAGAGGCAGGTCAGACGATCTTAGGGGTCCTCATTCGCAGAGAGAGCCAAAATGGTTACGCTAAGCTTTAAGCATCTCACACACCCCCTATTAGTGGGAAAGAGCTCTTCCTTCTCTGTTAAACTGTCCCCTTGGGGCTGGCAGATGGCATGGTGGCTAGGGGTGCCGGACTCCCACATGGCCGACTGTGGTTCAAGTCCCAGACCTGGTGGCTTGCTTTCTCGTTTTCACTCTCTCTGTTTCTCTCACTCTGTCCCCTTCTGGTCAAATTTAAATAAGTAGATACATAAATAAAGTTAAATATTTATTAAAAAAAAAAAACTGTCCCCTTGAATGTCGACTTACAGAAAAGAGCAGTAAATCAATCTCAAAATTCTTATGGCTCTTTGAGCACTCAAGTAGAAAAATCAGAGTATTTGGGGGTAACTGGTATACGTAGGATCTTCGAAGAATTCATGGAAAATACATATGAAAAATCAGGGGCTGGCATGTGGCATGGTAGTTAATGATGCAGGACTCCCACATGGCCAACTGCGGTTCAAATCCCAGACCGGGCAGCTTGCTTTCTCACTTCCCCCAACCCTCTCGCTCTCTGTCCCTCGCTGGTCAAATTAAAATAAATAAAGTTCAATAAAATAATTATTTTAAAAAAAAAGAAAGAAAAAAAAAATCAATGGATGAGGACCAGCAGTTGGCATAATGGCTTTGTCGCTGGACCACAGACCCGGTGACTTAAACTCATGCCAGGCGTGTGTGTGTGTGTGCATGCCCAAAATCCCAAGAGGAGAATGGAGGAGAAGGGATTGTGGAGTGGCCATTCCCCCCTGGAGGATGATTTCCCACTTTCTGTCTCTCTGTCTTTCTGGTGAGTACACGTGCCCTATAGCAAAAACCTCTCAAAAAGAAAAAAATAATGGAAAAAATAATTTAAAATGATTTAAATTAAATAATTAATTATTATTAATTTAAAAAATTTTAAAAAGTTTTGTTATAGAGCATGTGCACTCACCAGGGAGAGATAGAAAGAGAGAGATGGGGTTGGCAGGTGATGTGGTGGTTAAGATGGCTGGGCTTCTACATGGCTTACGGCGGTTCGAGTCCCAGACCTGGTAACTTGTTCTCTCACTCTCCTTCTCTTTCTTTCTCTCTATCCCCCCCAGCCCCCTGCTCCAGTCAACTTCAAAAAAATAAAATAAAAAATAATGACAATGATGGGACCAGCAGTTAGTGTCACAGGACTACCATGTAGTCAACTGTGGTTTGAGTCCCGGGCCTGGCGGCTTAAACTCATGCCAGGAGCGTGTGCGTGTGTGCCCAAGATTCCGAGAGGAGAATAGAGGAGAAGGAATTGCGGTATGGCCATACCCCCGGGGGGTGATTTCTCACTTTCTGTCTCTCTGACTTTCTCTTGTCTTTTTGGCCAGCACACGTGCCATATAGCAAAAATCTCTCCAAAAAAAAAAAAAAGGAAGAAAATAATAATGACAATGAATAAGATTAAATTAAAAAATTAGGAAAAAAGAGTAAGAGAGAGAGAAAGTGAGAAATCACCCCCCAGGGGGTATGGCCACTCCACAATTCCTTCTCTTGGGACTTTGGGCATGCACACACACACGGACCACATGACTTTCAAGCCACCGGGTCAGAAACTTGAACCACACAGTCAGCCATGGCGGATCCAAAACCTTAACCTCCATGCCACCCACTGGCCCTGGATTTCAACATTTCCATTTTTTTCCAGAAAAGGTTATTTATTTCTTCCACGAGAGAGAGACAGGAGGTGGAGCAGGGGCCGACAGAGACCTCAAACAGTGTCTTCACACAGCAGTCAGCCCCAGCCTCAGCCTGCCAGCACCACAGTGCACAAGTGCATGCCCAGTGTGTTCAGGGAGACTTCAGGATGCAAACCTGGGGCCCTTAGCACTGCTGAACGTGGTGTTCCTGCTGCGCCACCATAACTGGTCTCCACGAACTTCCTGAAGTGCCCTCGTATTCAAGCCATGTTCTTGAGAACACCAACCCTGGCTGTTTTTTCCCCCACTTTTGGAATAGGGAAAAGAATCCTTGCACTTCTAACTCATGAGAATAGGCAAAGAGACTTTGAAATTAGGGCAAAAATAAGATGTTGTCCATTATGCAGTCGTCCGGTAAATTACTACCCGGAGAAGCCCCGGTGATAACCAGAACCTCTCCCAACTGGACTAGTGAACATTCCCCCGGAGGTTCAGGGTAAAGCTGCTGCTGGAACTTTTACTTTCAAAGCTTTGAAAGTTGAGCTGCTGATAAAAACTCTGAGGAGGCTGGGATAACTGTTATTATTAATCTTATTCTCTTGTATCTCCTTAGATTTGTTTTTTGTTTGTTTGTTTGTTTATTTTATTTATGTATTTAAAAATTTGCTATAGGGTGTGTGTGCTTGCCAGGGAGAAAGAGTGGAGACCATGCCACAACCCCCCTCCTTCAGTCTCCTCCTGGATTTTGGGCACTTGCACAACACTCAGTATGTTCTTCCAAGCCAACGGGTCTAGGACTTGAACCATGCAGTCAATCATGTGGGATCCAGCCACCCCAATCACCATGCCACAGGCTGGTCCAACTCTCTATCAGTTTTATTTTTTATTATTTTTAAAAATTATTTATTTAATTTTATTCATTCATTCATTCACTTCAATTTGACTAGAGAGAGACAGAAAGTGAGAAAGCAAGCCACCAGGTCCAGGACTCAAACTGTGGTCGCCCATGTGGGTTTGTCCAGCGCCTTAACCACCATGCCACCCGCTGGTCCCTAGCTATATCAGTTTTAAATAAAAAACAGTAAAGGGGCCAGCAGGTGGTGCTATGGCTAAGGTGCTGGACTCCCACATGGCTGACAGAAGTTCAAGTACTGGACCTGGCAGCTTGCTTTCTCACTTTGCCTTTGTCTCTCTCTCTCTGCCTTTCTCTGTCTCTCTTTCTAGTCTAATTTTAAAAAATGATAATAACCAATAAAATTAAATAAGTAAATAATTCTTTAAAAAAAAAAAAAAAGTAAAACTGGGCCAACAGATGGTGTAGCGGTTGGGTCCTGTATTTGCCCAAGACCCCAGGAGGAGAATGAAGAAGGGATTGTGGTGTGGCCATCCCCCCAGGGTGGTGATTTATCACTTACCCTCTCACTGTTTCTCTTTCTCCCTAGTAAGCACACACGCCCTAAGGCAAAAACCTCAAATAAGTAAATAAATAAACAACAAACAAATAAACAAAAAAACTACAGTGACCCCAAGAGCAGAGACAAAAATTTTTTTTTGGGGGGGGAGAGGTTTTTGCTATAGGGCGCGTGCGCTCGCCAGACACAGACAGAGACATAGAAAGTGAGAAATCAGCACCCAGTGGGGATGGCCATGCCGCAATCCTTTCTCCTCCATTCTCCTCTCAGGGTCTTGGGCACACACGCACGCACACGCACCCAGCGTGAGTTTTAAGCCACTGGGTCCAGGACGCGAACCACGGTTGACTATGTGGGAGTCCAGGGACATAGCCATTACGCCGCCAACTGCTGGTCCCAACACAATGGAATCTTAATGGTCTTCTTGGCTTGGGTCAAGGAGCTTATCACTAAGGATGTTCTCAAGGTAGGATGTTTCAGGCTATTTAGTAAAGACTGCAGGAAAGTTAATCACTGTTGTTTACACAAAAAGTTCTAAGCAAGTTTCCAATATAGAGTTCACAGTGGAGGTTCTCCTGCTCCAGGTTGAGGAGCCAGGGGGGTCTGATGGTAAGGAGCTCAGCTTCCAGATACGTTTTTAATTGTCGGAAGGTACATGCCCATGGGACCAGCAGTTGGTATAATGGCTATGTTGCTGGACTCCTAGAACAGATAGAAAGCACCCCCGAATGGGGCATAGTAACAACACAATATTTTCTCCATTCCTCTAGTGTGTCAGGATTTTGGGCACACACTTACATGTGCCCAGTGATTATAAGCTATAGAGTCAGGCTTCTTTTTAACAATTATTTAGTATTCCAGGCATTATTCTAATATTTTTACATGCCTTAACCAATCATTGAATCCTCAAAGAACTCAGTAAAAAAGATACTTTTAGAATTAGGATAAGGGGGGACCAGCAGTTAGCGTAATGGCTATGTTGCTGGACTCCCATGTGGTCGATCGCGGTTCAAGTCCCGGACCTGGTGGCTTAAAACTCATGCCGGGCGTGTGTGCGTGCGCGCCCAAGATCCCAAGAGGAGAATGGAGGAGAAGGGATTGTGGCGTGGCCATCCCCCCTGGGGGGCGATTTTTTGGCTTTCTGTCTCTCTGCCTTTCTGTCTTTCTGGCGAGCACACATGCCCTATGGCAAAAACCTCTCCAAAAAAAAGAATTAGGTTGGAGGGCCAGCAGGCAGTGTAGTGGTTAAGATGTTGTGCTCCCACGTGGCTAACTGCAGTTTGAGTCCTGAACTTTGCAGCTTGCTTTCTCACTTTTTCTCATGTGTTCTCTCTCTCTCATTAAAAAATAACAATAATGATGATAAATAACATTAAATAAATAAATCTTAAAAAAAAGGAAAGAATTAGGATGTTGGGACCAGCGGGTAGCATGGTAATTAAGGTGCTGGACTCCCATATGGAACACTGCGGTTCAAGTCCCAGACCTGGCAGCTTGCTTTCTCATTTTTCCTGTCTCTCTCTGCTCCAATTAAAAATCATAACAATAAATAAAATTAAGTAATTCTTAATAAAAAAAAAAAAAGAGTTAGGATGTCAAGTCAGCTCTGTGGCACAGTGGAAATACAATGCTGAAGAAGCTGGATCCCACATGGCAAATGGAGACAGAATCTCACCAAATCCCACTTCCAGTCAGCCTGAAACAACTGGGCATGAGTGCATACGCCCGAGCTCTGCCCGAGGTCCGCCAGGC